GAACTGGAACTTGCCCATTGCTTTTTATATGTAGCTCACTCCTTAAGCAGCTATCGGGTAAGTCTAACCTCGATTTTAGGTTGTCTTTCGTCTTCCCTGGGACGTTCAATATAGTGTTCATGATGTTCTCAAAAAAGTTCTTCTCTATATGCATCACATCGAGGTTGTGGCGCAAAAAAAGATCTTTCCAATATGGCAATTCCCAAAATATACTTTTTTGTGACAATTGTGCTGAACACCATAAAAATCAGGCATATTACTGGGAACATGCCAATTCCACCACGAGGAGCTGTTTCTAGAGCACAGTAGTAATCGATTTGCGCTTCGATTTGTTCTCCAGTTAAATATGGAGGAGGAGTGTCTCTGGCAACCCTTTTGTGCCTGAACAATTTCTTGTTTCTTCGGTATGGGTGGTGGATGGGAAGAAATCGACGGTGACAATCGAACCAACTAGTCTTCCTACCATGTTTCAACTGAAACGCATCTGTCATTCCATTACAATATGGACAAGCTAATCTCCCATGTGTAGTCCACCCAGACAACATACCATATGCAGGAAAGTCACTTATGGTCCACAAAAGCATCGCTCGCATCGTAAAGTTGGTTTTCGTTGAACAATCATATGTCCTCACCCCTGTTGACCACAAATCTTTCAACTCTTTTATCANACATTCCGGCTATTGCTAGCGAAATGTGGATGTACATTGTTAAAATGTTTCCAGGCTCTTGCATCTGATGGATGAGTCATCTCTCCATCCGTCTGAGTATGCTCGGCGTGCCATCTCATCCCTCCAGCAGTCTCCTCAGATTGGTACAATCTTTTCAATCTGTCTGTGATTGGTAGGTACCACATCCTTTGGTACGGTATCCTATTGCGCCCTCGACCTTGCGGTTTCAATCGTGGCTTCTTACAAAATCGACATTCTTCTAACTTCTCATTATCTCCCCAGTAAATCATGCAGTTGTCGATGCAAACGTCTATCATCTCCGAGGGCAACCCAAGACTACATACCAATTTCTGAATCTGATAATAAGATTCAGCAGACACATTGTCTTCTGGAAAATACTCTTTAAACAAGTCTGCCCATGCATCGATACAATTTTCAGGTAGATTGTGATCGGTTTTAATACTCATCATTCTAGCAGCCAACGACAATTTAGACAGACATTCTCTACAACCACTGTAAATTGGCTCATTTGCAGCTTCTATTATTTCGTACAACGTTTTTGCATCTAAGTTAGGTTCTTCAACTTCATCATCATCATGAGTTACAATGCATCACCTACCATATCATGAACTCTATCACAATCTACCATTTGTTCCTCTTGGTGATGATAGCTATAACTACTGCTACCTTCATTACGCAAATGATCAACCGGTTCAACCTAATTACTACTGCTACTTTCATTCGTACAACTAGCATCTTCTCCATGTTGATACCAAATATAATAATATGGCATGAAACCTCTATTTATTAAATGCTTCCAAAAATTTTCACGAGGGCCTAATTTGGTATTGCAGCATTTCCGACAAGGACAGAACATCTTACCACTTTCCTGCGTGAGTGGTGTAGAATCTGCTTGATGCATACACGTCTCCAACCCTTCCAGAAATTCTTTCGTCACCCTCCCGTTATTATCTCTGTGTGAATACATCCACTGCCGCAACTCGAAAATATTTCCCGGACCGGACATTTTTTTGTGTTTGATCAAGCTTATAGCTGATTTTTTTTGTGTGTTTCAAATGAATCACATAAGGTGGTATTTATAGAAATTTTCGATATTTTCTATCCAGTTCCTCCTAATTTCGGAGTAATAAAATCGTTTCCTCCTAATTTCGTAGTAAAACTTTACTATGATTTTACGAGGAAAGGCAGTACTACGGCTTTACGAGGAACTGTACTTTTTCCTCGTAAGCTCCTCGTAAAATTACTAGGGTCTTACGAGGAAAGCTTTTTCTCGTAACTTTACGAGGAAATTTGATTTCCTCGTAAACCCGAAGTAAGGGCTTAGTAATTTTACGAGGAACATTTTTCCTAGTAAAATTTCCTAGTAAATGTTTAGTTTTCTTGTAGTGTAATGAACAAAAGAGTTTCACTGATATATTTATTTTTCTGTATATGACAAAACAAACATCTATGCATGGACTCATAAACACAGATTCATAATTTTATGGGGATTTCAGACATTAGACCTGTATGAATTGTAAGATCTCAAAATGAAAGCTATGTAGGATGCCCAACTTTCTTTGTCATTGAATCAGTTTATATTAGATCTTAACCGGTTGTCATACGTCATAGCATTGGATGTTGAATTTTGAGGATAAATATAATGGGTCCTTTGAATTTCCAATATACGACCATCATCACAACACGTATTTATCTGCAAAACAAGCATCTATGATTCTATTTTATTTATTTTATTTGTTGTTTTAAGTTTGTATTACACATATTAAAAAATATATTTAATTTTTAATATTTTCAAACTAAAATATTCTATAAATTTAATTACATTTTAACCAATAAAAAAATAAAATAACATATACAATTAATAAATTTATCTTTGAAATTATAAAATGACACTTATTTTGAAACGAAAATTTTACTCTACAATGACAGCAAAAATTGAAAGGGAGAAAGTATTCTTTAAGAAAAATATGAAAATACCTAATATGATTTACATTGAATATGACAATTTATGATACTAAATAGTAAAGACTTGCTAACCATTTGTATATCCTCTATAATGTTAATTTATTTTATTTATTAAACCAAAAGAACAGGGAGGTCTTGGATTCCACGATATTGGGCGTTTTAATCAGGCTTTGCTAGGTAAACAAGCTTGGCGAATTTGGAACAACCCAGAATCTTTAGTTTCTCGAGTTCTAAAGGGTAAATATTTCAAAAATGGTAATTTTCTTGAGTGTGGAATGGGGACAAGACCGTCATATGCATGGAGGAGTATCATGCACGGTAGAGAACTGCTCAAAAAGGGGTTATATCGTCATATTGGAAATGGGGCTGATACAAATGTTTGGGCGGAAAATTGGATTATCGACACAATTCCACGGCCTCCAATGTACCGTGAGAACAGCTCGATAAACTTAACACTTAAAGTATCGGACTTGTTAGTTCAAGGGTCAAATCAATGGAATATCAACTTGTTACAGCAAACTTTTACACCACAAGATGTTCAAAGGATTCTTCTTCTTAAGCCATCAATGGTAAATGATGATTCTATTAGATGGGGCTTCACAACGAATGGTTGTTATTCTACTCGTAGTGGGTACAAGTTGTTAGAGGCATTGGTGGATTTTGACCAACCTCAAGGACACACACTTACTCCGGTTGAACGGCAACTGTGGAGAGAAATGTGGAAAACTAAAGCTCCCCCAAAAATAAAACATTTTATGTGGCGGGCATTATCTGGTGCTTTGGCAGTTAAGCAGCGCTTGACTACTAGGGGGTTTCCGATTGATCCAACTTGTTATGTTTGTGGTAATGGTCCGGAAAGTATCTGTCATGTTCTCTTTACATGTGATAAAGCACGAGAAACATGGGAGCTTTCCAATTTTCCAGTACCTTTAGGAGGTTTCTCTCGGAATTCCACTTTTTTAAATTTTGTGCACTTGATCAAGATCCACAAGAGCCCCTCTATCGGTATTCATACAAAGAATGTTTTCCCATGGTTGTTATGGGAAATTTGGAAAGCTAGAAACGCTTTCGTCTTTGAGTCTAAGAGGATAGAGGCATCTTTCATTGCTAGTAAAGCTTATGAGGAAGAATCCACATGGTTCGATACTTTCTCTGGTAGGAAGGAAGGAGGTGATGAGGTTGTTCCGGAAACCATTAAATGGAAAAAACCACCTATTGGTTTCCTCAAATGTAATGTTGGATCTTCGTGGGTACATTCAAGCCATACTGCGGGCGCTTCTTGGATCCTTCGGGATGAAAAAGGGTCCACAATCTTGCATAGCCGTCGTGCTTACTCATGTATGCGCTCAAAGACAGAAGCAGATTTGTGGGCTCTCTTTTGGGCAGTCGATTGTTTGCATACTCTACATTTCTCGAATATTATTTTTGAGACTGCCTCTGCGACCCTACATGATGCTCTTACCACGACGAATTACCTTAGTCTCAGCCATATACGTCACAGCATTTTCTTCCTCCTTGCAAGGATTGATTCATGGAGTTTGGATCATGCCCTTCCTGAACGCAATGAAGCTGCAGCGGCAATTGCTATGAGTGTCACACGCGACCTTCGTCATCAATCCTACATCGCCC